CCGGGTGCGGGCAGGGGGTGGGGTTTGCTGGTTTTCCCCAGCCACAGGCCACATCCAGTCCCTGTGCTGCCGGCGGTCCCGGGGCCGCCCAGCACGGGCAGAGCGCGGTGCCTGGCTCCCGGCTGCGGTGACAGCCGCGGCGGGGCTGGCGAGCGGGGCTGTGATCTGAGGGTGCCCTGGCACAGATGCAGACAAAGTGGCCCCGGGTGAGCGTGGGCTGGAGGTAAGGGGGCTCCCGGCGCTCGGAAGGAGGAGGTTTTGCCACCGCTTCTGCCTCCGGGTACAACCTGGCACCGGGAGATTCGTCCTGCCCGGCGGCGGTCTGCTCTCCTCCATCCGCCGGCGCTCCCTGCCTGCGGCCGGTGTTTCCGAGCCCCGGGGCTGAGCCTCGCGGAGCTGGCAGCCGTGTGCGCTCCGGGGCCTGGATGAGGCTCGGTGCCTTTTCATTCCTTTTTTTGGTGCTGTTGCAGCATCCCCCTGTGCCAGCCGTGTCGGGGTGCCTCCCTTTGCGCTCTGCGGGGGCTGCCCGGCCGCGTGCTCGCAGCTCGCTCGTGCCCCCTCCGCCGGCTTTGACTAATGCCTTTCTGCAGTTGGTTTAATTTTCTGCCTCGCCTTTATTTTTACTTTGTGCTTTTTCCCTCCGGTTCAAAAGCCGCTGCCTCCTTCAGCCCTGCGAGCTCTGTCCTGGTGCCGGGGGGGCCGGGGCCATCGCCCGCTGCGAGCCGGGGGCTCCAAGGGTGTTTGTTTCCGTGTTCCCTCTGCTCGCAAGGAGGAAGAGACGGCGATTTTGGCAGGGGTGTGCGCGGCTGGGGGAGCTCCCGGTGTTTGCCTGGCCGGGGCAGGGCAGGGCGCGGGCAGGACGGGTTGTCGTGTCCATGGCGTGCGGTGTGCTGGGGCCGCGCACGGAGGGCCGGGGTTTGGGCTGGGTGGGAGCTGGGAGCCCCCCGGCTGCGACTGGGGGTGCAGAGGAGCCGGGTGTTGGTGTCCTGCTCTGCTGCTCCCTCCCCGTGGCCTGGGGCAGGGTGACAGGGACAAGCGGGGCTCAGAGGTGCTGGGGGACGCTCAGCACTGACACAGCAGTGCCCTCAGCCCGGCGCTGGAAAGAGCAGCATCCCACGTCCCCCAACACCGCGCCCACATCCCTGCGGAGCTTCGTGCTCCACCGCGGCTCAGCATCCTTGTCTCTGCTTCACGGGTGGGGAAACTGAGGCACGGGGTGGGCAGGGAGCCCTGCGAGACTTGTGCTGTGTTGCTCAGCACCTTGGTGGTGGGGACGGGACTAAATCAGCCATGCCCCAGGTTCTGCTGCCTCTGGGTGCCTGTGGTGAGGAGAGGCACCCGGGGTGCGAAGGAAAGGTGCAGGCAGGGTAGGAAAGGTGCAGGCAGGGTAGGAAAGGCGCAGGCAGCTCTGGCAGCCGGAGCCCAGCTCCCAGTGTGTCTCTGTCCCCAGGCTACAGTGTGAAGTGCGAGTACACGGCGCACAAGGAGGGGGTCCTGAAGGAGGAGATGGTCCTGGCCAGCGAGGCCGGTGAAGGCGCCTCCATCAAGGTCGTGGTCCAAGCCCGCGTCATGGGTAAGGGTCTGCCGGCGGCGGCGGCATGGGGGCCTCGCGCGGTTCCTTGGGTTTCGGAGCAGTGATTCCTCCCCGCCACTGCCGGTAACGGAGCGCTCGCAGGCCTGGCTGGAGACCCGCCGCCTTTTGGGGGGCCCGGGG